AATGATCAATCGGCAGCTTGTTTGGGGTTGGTTTTACATTTATGAAAGGAAAAAGCTTGCCAGATAAAATTGTTCTTGAAGCTTATAGGGAAATAATGTTCTCTGGTAAGCTCTGCCCTTCTTTTGCCATCTGACAAGGTCATTCATGGAAGCCCAGTGCTGGTTAAGTCCTTACATGAAGAAACGGTCCAGTTGACGTTTCACTGTTTCATGAGAAGTAGAACGTACCGTGACAGTAAGAGAGAAGCAACAGAAACGGTGCAATGAAAACCCCCGTGCTTGTGGATGGAGAACTATCCACTTTGTTTCAACTCCACAGTGGGCCTCTGAGTGGAGTGCCTTCTGCCTGGAGTCAGGAGGGCTGCCCTGATGTCACCCACCTTCATATGGGCAAAATGTCTTTATAGCAAACTGTAAAAGACAACCAGGTAGTTTCTTAATTGCTGAAATCTACTAAAATAAACACACTAGAAAATCACATTCCCAATCCAGAGGAATTCAGTGGTGTGGTCAGCCTATTTGAAGTGAAAATGATTGTAAACCTATAAAGAGATATGGGAGGGGTTACACACAATCTACACACAATCCGCTTTTGTTCCTCTTAATTTACTGGCTTTTTTCCCCCTAGAGATATGGTCTCACTCGGCCAGGCGCAGTGGTTCACCCCTGTAATTCCAGCACTTTGGGAGGCTGAGGCGGGAGGATCAGGAGATTGAGACCATCCTGGCTAACATGGTGAAACCCCATCTCTACTAAAAATACAAAAAATTAGCCAGGCATGATGGCAGGTCCCTGTAATCCCAGCTACTAGGGAGTCTGAGGTAGGAGAATGACTTGAACCCAGGAGGCAGAGGTTGCAGTGAGCAGAGGTTGCACCACTGTACTCCAGCCTGGGTGACAGAGTGAAACTCCATCTCAAAAAAAAAAGAGAGAGAGAGGGTCTCACTTTGTCACTCTACTGCCCAGGCTGAGTGCAGTGGGTTGATCATGGCTCACTGCAGCCCCAAACCCCTGGGCTCAAGCAGTTCTCCCACCTCAGCCTCCCAACTAGCTGGGATTACAGGCATGTACCACCACGCCCGGATAATTTTTCAAATTTTTTTGGTGGAGATAAGGTCTCATTATGTTGCTTAGGCTGGTCTTGAACTCCTGGGCTTTCAAGCAACCCTGCTGCCTCTGCCTCCCAAAGCAATGAAATTATAGGTATAAGCCACCACACCCAGCCCTCATTTGCAGTCACTTTATGTGATAATAGTTGATTTTGTCAGTGTTTTCCAGTTGGAAGAGACTGTGGAAAATTTAAATATATCTGCTATTTGATGGTAGGAAACACACTGGAATATGAAGCCACAGCTGAGTTCTGGTCTTAGTCCTTTTGGGATGCTCTAACAACCTGCCATAGACTGGGAAGTTTATATGCAATAGACATGGATTGCTCCACAGTTCCGGGGGCAGGGAAGATCAAGGCCCTAGCAGAGGAGGCATCTGGTGAGGGCCCACTTTCTGGTTCATAGACAGCACTTTCTTGCCGTGTCTTCACTTGGTGGAAGGGTGAGGGGTCTCTCTCAGGCCTATTTTAAAAGAGCACTAATCCCACTTGCAAGGGTGGTGCCTCCAAGATCTGATCACCTCCCAAAGGTACCTTGGGAGTTAGGATTTCAACAGATGAATTTGGGGAGGACGTGAATATTCAGACCGCGTAGCAGAGCTGTTTTCCCTTTATAGTGAAAGTGATTTAAGACAAGGAGGTGCCTGCAAAGGAAAAAGACACTTTGCCACTTTTTACTGCTTTGCCTAAAAACTACAGTCATCCTCCTTCCAATGCCTTAAAAATGAGCTAGATTGGCCAGGTGCAGTGGCTCACACCTGTAATCCCGGCACTTTGGGAGGCTGTGGCAGGCGGATCACCTGAGGTCAGGGGTTCAAGACCAGCCTGGCCAACATGGCGAAACCCCATCTCTACTGAAAATACAAAAATTCGCCAGGTGTGGTGGCATATGCCTGTAATCCCAGCTACCCAGGAGGCTGAGTCAGGAGAATCACTGGAACCCAGGGAACAGAGGCTGCAGTGAGCTGAAATTCCACCACTGCACTCCAGCCTGGGCAACATAGCAAGACTGTGTCTCAAAAAAAAATCTGAGCTAGATTATTCTCAGTCTGCAGTAGAACACGGACTTCTCAAGGTACTTAGGATTCTTGGGTTGTTCATCTTCTCCACGCCCCCCACCTCAGCCCACCCTCTGGCAGTACAGAATGCAGTTTGGCAGGGCAGGGTAGGTAATAGAAGTGGACAGCTTCTGTTGTCAGAATGGAGCTCAAACTCCAGGACTACAGTGTCATTGTTTTAAGAAGGATGCCACTTGTCCTTTTCCAAAACACAATGAATGACACACCACATAATGTTTAAACACAGATAACACAGAAGAAGGGATACTTTAAGGCATACTAGAGATTTAGGGTCAATGTACATTTCATGGTAGTTCCTTGAAAGATTACGCTTCAGGAAAATGCCACATCAAACCAATGTCTTCCGCTGCACAGAGAGAACACTGGAGTTCACCAAAGGTAAAAGGTACACTGAGCAGAGTGCACTTTGTTCTGGAAAGTACTAAGACTTTACAAACCTATACCCATTAACGAGTTTCTCTGAGACTAGAAATTGCATCGGGAAGTGTGTCCTAGTACGGGCCCTAGGGTCGTGCAGAGCCAAGGATCCTATGTGTTGCTCATAAGCTGTGTCTTTCTGAGTAAATCATCAAACCCTCTAGCTGCGGCTTCCTGCTCTATAAAATAGGAATGGCAACAGCACCTGCCTCATAAGGGTCAGGCGTAAAACCAGGCCTGTAGAAGCCACAGCTCGTGCCTGCAGATAGCACCCACTGAATGCCATTGTTGTGTTTATTACTTTCTCTTCCCTCCCCTTATCACTAACACAATAATCCTATAAAGTGGGTGAGTGCTGCTCTTCCCATTTTGTGAGGCAGCAGAACCTCAGGAAAATTAAGAAACGTGTCTGGGGTGGCCCAGCTGAATTCCCCTTGTCAGTGTAACCCCAGAGAAGGGTGTATGTCTTTCTCTGTGAAACAGATATGCTGGCTGTAATATATTCCAAGTCTCAGTTGGACACTCCCCTTTCAAATGTGCCAGGCCCAGGCCTCGCCCAAAGTGAAAAAGAACGTACGTTGTACTGCAGGAGTCTGGAGTGCAAACCCCAGTGACCTCGCGCAGGTTATTTCTACCTCTCTGAGGATCAGAAATACAGATAAAGGCCAGGCACGGTGGCTCACACCTATAATCCCAGCACTTTGGGAGGCCGAGGTGAGTGGATCACGAGGTCAAGAGATCGAGACCATCCTGGTCAACATGGTGAAACCCCGTCTCTACTAAAAATACAAAAATTAGCTGGGCATGGTGGCGCGCGCCTGTAGTCCCAGCTACTCGGGAGGCTGAGGCAGGAGAATTGCTTGAACCCAGGGGGCGGAGGTTGCGGTGAGCCAAGATCGTGCCATTGCACTCCAGTCTGGGTAACAAGAGCGAAACTCCGTCTCAAAAAAAAAAAAAAGAAATACAGATAAAGTGCTGAGTTCATACTTGGCATTCAATAATTGATCTTCCATCACCAGCCATTCTGACGGGTGCCTATAAAAAGTGGGCATCTCCAGAATCATGCAGTGAACACCTGGAAATTGTTGCTGCCGCTTCTCATTTGGAGGCAAATCAACCTTTAACTAAACCTAGAAGGCACACATCAGTCTCCAGCTACCTCTCCAGGCTCTGCTGGAGGGCAATCACACACCTTCATAGCACACATCCAGAAAGTAATAGAAAGGGGAAGGTGTGTATCATGTCTTTTTTTTTTTTTTTTTTTTTTTTTGAGACAAAGTCTTGCTCTGTCACTCAGGCTAGAGTGCAGTGGCACGATCTCGGCTTACTGCAACCTCCACCCTCCTGTATTCAAGCAATTCTCCTGCCTCAGCCTCCCGAGTAGGGCTGGGACTACAGGCGCACACCACCACACCCAGCTAATTTTTTGTATTTTTAATAGAGATGTGTTTTCGCCATGTTGGCCAGGCTGGTCTCAAACTCCTGGCCTCAAGCGATCCACCTGCCTCGGCCTCCCAAAGTGCTGGGATTTTAGGCTTGAGCCACCACACCCGGCCATGTCTTCTCTTTAAATTTACCAGTCCACACCCGAAAGCCAAGATCCAACACTATGCGTAGGCCGTATTAAATCACTTCACACTTAATATCCATTGCCTGACTGACTGTTCAAACATCAGTTCTGCAAATGGAGAAAGTGACTTTTGCACTGGATTCCTTTCTACCGTAATCCACTAGATCAAAACACTGTTTAAAGGCCTCCAACGTGTGATAGAATGAGGATCTCTGTATTTCTTTTTAAAACCACGCTAGCCACAGTTCCCACAGTCAGAGTCACCATGCCACATAGGTTTTCTTTTCCCAGTTTTTCACTCCTCACTCCTTTTTGCTGTTTTAGCCTACCCCTCCCTTCTCGTCTTTATCCATCCATCTCCCACCAACAACAGGATAATCTTTATGCCCCACGGTTTTTTACCACACAGCTCTCTTTGGAGCATCAGGACCCTCTTTCCACCCATTTCTCCTTACAGCCTGCATTTAACACACTTTCAGAGCCCATTCATTCACAGTTAGAGCTTGCTTCCCGAAGTCTTTCACATGGGCTCTGCCCAGGTTTAAGTTTGAGTTATGACCGTGGACCTCCCGGTCACTGTGTCCTCATCTGTGGAGGAAGGCTGTCACCTGGATCATCTCTGTGGTCTCCATGCATCAAAGGTTACACAACAGGACCTCCCTCCATCTCTCTGGGCCTTCATTTCTTCCCTGTGAAATAAAGAAGTTAGACAATCAGTCAGCCCAAGCTAGGCAAAAGCGGTTGCTGGATTATTTTCTGATTCTTCTGGTTAGTGCCTCAACAAGAAGTATTTTCATCAGTGTTTTCTTGCCCTTTTCCTCTGTAGACTGTAGGCTGCTTTGGGATTACGTCTATCAGTTGCTTTCTGACAGCCGGTACGAAAACTTCATCCGATGGGAGGACAAAGAATCCAAAATATTCCGGATAGTGGATCCCAACGGACTGGCTCGACTGTGGGGCAACCATAAGGTAAAAGGCAGCAGATAACTGCTCCATAAACTAGCGCGAAAATGAGGTCTTTATCCCTGGATTGGAAGATAATCGCTGTCTTCTGCTTTCTACTTCTGCCCATACTTACTTAGTTTATTCCTTGCTGGGCAAGCAATTAGGCAGTTGCAAAGGGAAGGAAATAATTAAAGATGTGTCTTTCCATCCGTTCCTGAGGCCAGGTTCCCATTAACTCTCATGTCCCAGTTTGCTGGGCTGCATCATGAGTGACCCTCGTTGCCGCTCCCCTTGACCTGGTCCTGCCACCTCCACTGTTGTTAGGAACTGGGTAAAAGGGAAGTGCTGCAAGACTGACTCACAGGGGACCTCTGGGAAGTGTCACTTCTTTCCTGCTCAGTTAGAAATTCCCATGTTGACAAAAGCCCATTTCTGCATATGAAATACTTATATTCTGACTGTAAAAATCCCTGTTATAAGCAAGCAATGCAAGAGGTTTGATTGCCCCACAGTTTTTCCAGACTGGGAGGAGGGAATGGAATTGAATAAAGCTTTTGCAGTAAGGAAGATTGCTAAAGTATGCAGATGTAAAAAGTGGGTAACCATGATCCAAGCCAGCCAACAGGCGGACCTGAAGCAAAGCCTGACATCTGCACGGTGGCACACCCCAATCCGCTGAGTGAGAAGGCAGGGGGGCCCAGCCAGGTGCCTTCTAAAAAGGCAGTGGGTAATGCAGACCATGACCAAATATGGCAAGGCCCCACTGACAGACACTTCCATGTGTGAGTCACTGAGAAAAATCCCGCTGCTACTCCCACGTTGTACCATCGCCTCGGGGCTCAGAACCACTGTCGTCTTGCTTCCACAACAGGAATTTAAACAAAAACTGTCTTCCTTAAAATGACAGACCAGAAACACAAGTTTGAGAAAAGCTCATTGCAAGAAAAAAAAGAAAAGCTGTGTGGGTCAGAAGGTGAAGGATGACCCAGAGATAGGGGGACCCTGGAGGAAATTCCTCAGGCTGAGCAGAGAGCAGTCTTGGGAAAAGGAAATAAGGGAGGCTGCTGTGGGGTCTCCGTTATTAGCTAGGGCTCCAGGACTTCGGACAAAGGGTGATTCACCTTCGGAGTAAACCTTGGTGACAGTGAATATAACCAGCTAAAGGGTGGGGACAGATGTGCCTGGAAGGCAGCAGATTAGCAGGTAGCGTCCCAAACTGGCAGGGCCACAGGCAGCAGCTGAAGAGCTTTTATTTTTATAGCTCCCCCAGTGCCTTTTCTGAGGTTCATTTCATTGTGTCTTTGTGCTTTTTTTTCTCCCTTCCTCCTTTGAACAAACAGAACAGAACAAACATGACCTATGAGAAAATGTCCAGAGCCCTGCGCCACTACTACAAACTAAACATTATCAGGAAGGAGCCAGGACAAAGGCTTTTGTTCAGGTAGCACTTCCTTTTTCTCCTTTCCTTCTTTTGGGAGGATGCTGTTTTCTTTAAATACCGGGGAGCGGGCGGGGGCGGGGGAACTGTTAAGCTTTACCTGCCTATCTGATTCTCAAAGCCATCATTGCTACAAACTGGATGCCAAATACTGGTTTGTTAGGATTTAAGGAAAATGTTTTTTTTTTTTAACTTATGCCTGTCCCGTAAGAAAGCCAAAACTAAATGAACAGAATCTGACTCACCTTTAAAATAACGCAGTGACCAAGTAATACTCTGTGGCATTCAACTCCGGTTTCGTTAAAAGCACAAAGTCAATGGAAAACAAGGAATGAAACCTAGACTTCCGGGTTACCAACCCTGTAGGGCAACTTTCTAAACGAGTATTTGTCAAAACGCAGGCAGTGACCCACCATGAGTCATGAAATAGATTGAATGGGCCCATCACAGCTTTTGTTTTAATGAAGTAAGAATAGCATAGGATAGAGCTGAAGATACCAAGCTGCATCGCATGTAGCGAGAATGCCAGTTGATTCATGAACCTGTTGTTCTAGGTGTGTATGTGCACGGTGAGTCGTGCTGGGAAATGCATTTCGTAGGATACATTGTAGTCAGAAAAGTCTAAAAGCTGCTGCGTAGAATTCTTCCCAGAATTCCTCATAGCTAATGAGTTTCAACCAGTTAGCCTGCCACATAGATTGTAATGCCAAGTCCTGTGGGAGAGAGGAGAAGGAATTGGAAGGAGAGCGGGGATCTGAAGGACCAATCAGGAGAGGCAGAAGTAGACCTCTGGCGCTGGTAGCAGTCATGAGTGGGGCCAAGTGCAGGTTGGTGGAAGTGAGATCAACAAATACAACCTTGGGTGATGGGTTGTGGCAGGTGGGACAGAAGAGAGTGACAGGCAGGGCTAGAGCTGTAGATTTGGAATTATCTATATACAGGTAGGAAGTGATACCATGTGTGAACTGATGAGCTCACGCATATGATTAATTGATTGGAAAATGTGGAGAACCTGGTCTTTAGCGTTGGGAAGGATGGTAACTTAGGAATACTAAAAGCAATTGAGATCTTCAAAAGAAACAGGAAAGGCTATTTAAGGAAGGGAAACAGAATAGAAGGAATAAAAAAAGAACCTTCCCTTCTCTGGCTCTACTGATGCCTCTTATTCATCCTTCAGCCTAAACTCAGCTCTTGACTCCCTTTCTTCCCACTCTGTACCTTTTCTGTGGATGAACTGATCCCAACACACAACTTCATTTATCACTTCAGCGGTTGGGCTCTTAAATCTCTACATCCAGCTCTAAAATCTCCCTGGAATTCTAAATGTGAATGTCCAAGAGCTTCTTGTAGGGTGTGTCCCCTTAAATATCACATTTAAGTATTTCAGATATGACACCTTCAAAACAGACCCTCGTCTCAGATTAGAAGTTCCACCCAGAGGCCAGGTGCAGTGGCTCATGCCTGTAATCCCAGCACTTTGGGGGCCAAGGTGGGCAGATAGCAGGTCAAGAGATCAAAATCATCCTGGCCAACATGGTGAAACCCCAGCTCCACTAAAACTACAAAAAGTAGCTGGGCGTGGTGGCATGAGCCTGTAGTCCCAATTACCTGGGAGGCAGGAGAATCGCTTGAACCTAAGAGGCGGAGGTTGCAGTTACCTGAGATCACGCCACTGCACTTCAGCCTGGTGATAGAGCAAGACTCCATCTAAAAAAAAAAAAAAAAAAAAAAGGAAATTCCACCCAGAATTCTTGAATTTTTGTTGGCTCATCTGGGGCATCGCTGCTGTTTGAAGCGACCAACTTTGAAACTAGTTGCCTTTGACTCTTCTCGTATCCTGGTCATTGTGCTAGACTGGCTGTTGGCTCTTCAGCACCATTCCCACTCTATTCTGTGTGCCAGGGGCTGGAAGCTTGGCACCTACATTTCCAAGGGCTTGTTGCCAGAAGGTCCCAGGCTGGAGTCTTTCAATGACAAGCAGTTTCATGAGACCTGGGAGATGAGAAAAAGGCAAAGGCTTCCTTGACAGTGGAAGCTGATGTCTGGACTTCATGATTCACGTCTGGATTCACTCAACAATCTCTTTCTATCTCTGGTCCACTCCCTGCCTCCTGAAACCATAATACAAACTGCCAGCTGCCATAAACACTACTATGATTCCCTGTGCCAGGAATGTATGTGACCTTAACCTTTGCCTTTTTAATACCTATACCCTCAAGGCTCAACCTCAAGTCCATTGCCCTGAATGAGGCCTTCTTGAGCTGCTCCAACCACACATAGCTGTCTTCTTCCATCATCACTTGGGTTCCCTTGGGCCCTTAACTACACTATGATTTGCACTTTCTTTTCCTTTTTTGTTTTTTTTTTTTGAGACAGAGTCTTGCTCCTCTGTCACCCAGCCTACAGTGCAGTGGCACGATCTCAACTCACTGCAACCTCCACCTCCTGGATTCAAGCAATTCTCATAATTATCATGACTCAGCCTCCCTAGTAGCTGGGATTACAGGTGCCTGCACCATGTCCAACTAATTTTTGTATTTGTAGTGGAGACACGGTTGCGCCATGTTAGCCAGGCTGGTCCCAAACTCCTGTCTTCAAGTGATCTGCCCATCTTGGCCTCCCAAAGTCCTTGGATTACAGGTGTGAGCCACCATGCCTGGCCAGTTTGTTTTTCTAGAGACAGGGTCTTACTCTGTTGCCCAGGCTGGAGTGCAGTGGTGTGATCATAGCCACCGCAGCCTCAAACTCTGTGCTCAAGCAGTCCTCCTGCCTCAGCATCCTGAATAGCTAGGACTACAGGATTTCTGTTTTTAATACAGGTTGAGTATCCCTTATCTGGAATGCTTGGGACCAGAATTGTTTCCAGTTTTCAGATTAGGGATGCTCAGCCTGTGTGAAGTCTTTCTCCTCTATAACTAGACTGTAAGCTCCTAGAAGGTAGAGGATTCTACTTTTTATCATTCTGTGTTACACTTTGATGTGGAATATCAGAAGCTTAATATGGGAAAGTCGTCAAAAGAAGAAAGGGATGGTTTGGGGGGGCCAAGCACAGCATATCTGTGGAGTTGGCTTAGAGGGACTCCTTATTGACGTCAGATGTGGAGGGAGAAATTTTAGTTAGGGGATAAAAGAGAGAAACTGGCCAGGCCTGGTGGCTCAAGCCTGTAATCCCAGCACTTTGGGAGGCCGAGTCAGGTGGTCAACATGGTGAAACCCCGTCTCTACTAAAAATACAAAAAATTAGCTGGGCATGGTGGTGCGTGCCTGTAATCCCAGCTACTCAGGAGGCTGAGGCAGGAGAATTGCCTGAACCCAGGAGGCAGAGGTAGCGGTGAGCCCAGACGCGCCATTGCACTCCAGCCTGGGTAACAAGAGCAAAACTCCATCTCAAAAAAAATACAGAGGAGAGAGGAACAATCCAAGATGGCCAATCGATAACAGCTCGGGATTGCAGCTCTCAGTCAAAGCGCAGAGAACTAGAGGAAGCCACACTTTCAGACAAATTCTGGTCGCTCACGGAGCAGAAGATCCCCAGTGGAGGAACCACACGGGTCGCCAGTGCAACTCTTGTGGCCGGCACAGCGGTTTCGCCAGCACCTCCGTGCGGCAGCTCTTGGAGCAGAGTAAACAGGGCCAGCTCCCTTTCTGACCGAGGTTTGGAGGACCCACCCGGGTCCCCAGCACGACTCCTGAGGCGGGCGCAGCGGCTGTGACGGCACCTCGGCCCGGCAGCTCTCGGCGCAGAGTAAATGAGACTGGTTCCTCTTCTGACTGAGGTTTGAAGCCCGGGGAAGGCAGAGTCGCCCATTACGGACACAAGAAGGAAGCCAGACAGGAGAATCCTGGGCAGAAAAGCACCATCAGTCTTAACGCTGCTGCTCTGGCCCTGGGAACTAACAACCTGGACGTCCACTCAAGAGACCTAATCTGAAAGCTGGTAATTTCAAAGACGACAGGAGGATAAATTTACAATTATGGGAAGAAACCAGCGTAAAAAGGCTGAGAATACTCAAAATCAGAACGCCTCTCCCTCTAAAGATGATCACAGTTCCACATCAACAATGGAACAAGGCTTGACGGAGAACGAGCGCATCCCAATGACAGAATCAGTCTTCAAGGAATGCATAATAAGAAACTTCTGTGAGTTAAAAGAACATGTTGTAGCCCAACGTAAAGAAACTAGAAACTTTGAAAAAAGGTTTGATGAAATCCTATTGAGAATAGACAACTTAGAGAGAAATATAAGTGAATTAATGGAACTGAAGAATACAATACAGGAACTCCGAGAAGTTTGCACAGGTTTAAACACTCAAATTGTTCAAGCAGAAGAAGGGATATCAGAGGTCAAAGTCCAACTTAATGAAACAAAACAAGAAGACAAGATTAGAGATAAAAGGATAAAAAGGAATGAGCAAAGTCTCCAAGAAATGTGGGACTATGTGAAAAGACCAAATTTAGGTTTGATTGGTGTACCTGAATGTGACGGAGAGAATGAATCCAAGCTGGAAAATACCCTTCAGGATATTATTCAGGAAAACTTTCCTGAACTAGCAAAGCAGGTCAACATTCAACCCCAGGTAATACAGAAAACACCACAAAGATATTCCTCAAGAAGAGCAACCCCAAGGCACATAATCGTTAGATTCACCAGGGTTGAAACGAAGGAGAAAATACTAAGGGCAGCCAGAGAGAAAGGTCAGGTTACCCACAAAGGCAAGCCTATCAGACTTACAGCAGATCTCTCAGCAGAAACTCTACAAGCCAGAAGAGAGTAGGGGCCAATATTCAACATCCTCAAAGAACAGAACCTTCAGCCTAGAATTTCATATCCAGCCAAACTAAGCTTCACAACTGAAGGAAAATTAAAATCTTTTATGAACAAGCAAGAACTCAGAGATTTTATTACCACCAGGCCTGCTTTACAAGAGCTTCTGAAAGAGGCATTACACACAGAAAGAAACAACCAGTATTAGCCTTACTAAAAATACACCAAAAAGTAAAGAGCACCAACATAAAGAAGAATTTTCATCAACGAATGGATCAAACAGCCAGTTAACATCAAATGGCAGTTACCCTAAATTTAAATCGACTAAATCCCCCAATCAAAAGACACAGCCAAAACCCAGCAGTATGCTACATCCAGACCCACTTCACATGCAAGGATACACAAAGACTCAAAACAAAGGCTTGGAGAAAGATTTACCAACCAAATGGAGAGCAAAAATAAATAAATAAATAAAAAGCAGGAGTTGCAATTCTTGTAGCAGATAAAATAGATTTTAAAGCAACAAAGATATAGTGGTAAAAGGATCAATACAACAACAAGAGCTAATGATCCTAACACCCAGATACATAGAGACTTAGATTCAGTGAGACAGAAAATTAATAAGGATATCAAGGACTCGAACTCAGATCCAGAACAAGTAAACTTAATATTTATAGAGCTCCCCACTTCAAATACATAAAATATACATTCTTATCAATACCACATCACACCTACTCATAGGTTTAAATGAAACATTGATTGGCCATTATTAATACCCATTTTTTTTTTCAGAATAAAGCAATATTTCCGTTCACCCTCCCTCTCTCTCTTCCTCTTTCTTTCTCTCCTTTACTCATTTTTTTTTATTTTCTTCTCTCAAAAAAAGAAATCAACTGGTAAACCTCTAGATCCAGGTCGGCAATGTCTCTCTCATTGCTTGAATTCCTTCCTTCCCTTTCCTCCCTCCCTTCCTCCCTTCCTTCCTTCATCCCTTCCTTCCTCCCTCCCTTCCTCCCTCCCTCCCTCCTTCCCTCCCTTCCTGCCTTCCTCACTTCCTCCTTCCCTCCCTAAAAAAAAACAGAGGAGAAACTGCAGATGCTACAGATTGTACTGCCGGAGAAGTTTGGCAGTAATGAGCAGGAAAAAACAGTAAGTAGCCAGAAGATTGATAGGCTTCCAATAAAAGATTTTCAGTAAGAGAAAGGAATTGTGCTATTAGTGGGGGAGAGATTAGCCCTCTTGGAGGAAATGAATGTTAGAAGCCAGACTTGCCACAGAATGAAGGTTTCTTGGTATAAGATCCAGTATGTAATCAATCAAGTGAGGTGTTGAATTATAGGTACTCTTTACAAGATGTTTGAGTGCTGAAGAAGGTGGACGTTTACGTGTTGAAATCGTGGACTAGTGCCATTAAGCAGCTCTTTGATGAGGAGGCAGAACACAAAGAATGAGTAGGACTCAACTCATGAGAAGAGTCCGGAGGATTCCAGACAAGGGGAAAGCTGAAGATGTGTAGGAGAGCATGCACCATGATTTATACAAGAGCCGAGACCGCTAGACTGCAGTGGGTTCAGACTGGTGAACAGTGGAAAATAAGAGCTTCCTAGGTAAATACGGTAGAAGGACCTGGTGGGCAGACCAAAGGATGTATCCTTGACTGGATGAGTGGTCATTGTAGGCTTTTGCATATGGAGTGATGAGAGAAAAATGTAAGTAAGCTCTAAGAGAGTTTATCTGGTGCAGGGGCAGAGTATATGGGGAGAGAAAGGTGTGCAGACACAGACGGGGAGTGGAAAGGGTGCTCCTACAGGGCAGGTGGGATATCTGCAACCAGGCTGCCTTCCCGAGCCATGTAAATCACGGTCAAAACACATCACTGAGGTCACTTCCAGTTTAACCCATTGAACAGGAAGATGAGGCTTGCTGTACACCCCGGTTGCAAAGGTAGGCAGCCTAAAGAGGGTTCATTGCTGCCTCTTGAAGTTTTGAATACCATTTCCTGGCCTTACAGTCTGGAATGGAGTGGATATACAACTCTCATGAGTCTGTGAAATCTAATTCTCTAAAAGAAAGAAACATGTTTACATGATCTGGACCAAGGCTTTCTCGTATGGTCATACAGTAATGCACCACATGGTCCCAAAGGGTGCTCACTGCCTTATAGATATCCTAGATGACTTTTTTAAAAATAGAATCTCACTCTTTCACCCAGGTTAGAGTGCAGTGGCCCTAGGCTCAAGAGATCCTCCCACTTCAGCCTCCCAAGTAACTAGGACTACAGATGCACACCACCATATCCAGATTTTTTTTTTTTTTGTAGAGGTGGGGGTCTCACTATGTTGCCCAGGCTGGTCTCAAACTCCTAGGTTCAAGTTATCTTCCCACCCTGGCCTCCCAAAGCACTAGGATTATAGGCATGAGCTACCATACCTGGCCCTAGTCTTTTTAAATAATCATTTTGCCACTTTTCAGACAGAGGAAGGGGTACCTTTTCCTAATTTGCACTAAGTTAGCGTTCATCTTGGGGTTCACTCCTGCTGTATAAGATGATGGAGGCTTACTTTACATACAGGCTCGAGTTCAGAGTGAAGACAGCTTTAGGAAAGTGGAATCTCTTAACTCCTCCACTTCTTCTTCCAAAGGTTTATGAAAACCCCAGATGAAATCATGAGCGGCCGAACAGACCGTCTGGAGCACCTAGAGTCCCAGGAGCTGGATGAACAAATATACCAAGAAGATGAATGCTGAAGGAACCAGCAGTCCACCTCAGTGGCCAGCAGCCCAGAGAACCCCTGCCCGCCAGGATTGCTGGAGGTGTGACCGAGCAGGCGGGCTAAGGAGAGTGGGAAAGGAAGCAACCCGGAAATGGCAGGGACACTTCTCCTGCAGACCAAGAGGGACCCTGGAGCACCTTAGATAAACCACCCAGCAAAGGCGGGGCTGGAATTCTGGCGGAGGGCATGAGGCTGGGACTCGCATGTCAGGTTTCCTTCTCATTTGGAATCTCCGTCTGTAACTCCTCACCCTCACCCTTCCACTGTTGTTAGTTTCATGGTGTTTTTGTTTTCGTTTTTTTAAGAACATGCAGTTTGACTCTTCATCATTCATCTAGGGGAAGACATCTGATGTTGTTTTCCTATGGAAATATATATCTATTATATATATTTTTTGCAAATCTCACAAAGTGCGGCAAGCCCAGCTGGTCAGGAGAGAGAATACTTGCAGAGGGGTTCAGATTCCTCTTTTTTTTACCACGTGGATCAGGTTTGTTCCTGTTACTGTTGGGTCTTGGCTGAAAAAAAAAAAGATACTTTTAAAAAAGATAAAAGGAGAGCTCTCTTTTTCTCTCTCTTACTCTCTTCTTCCCGTGGTCCCCTCTGTTTTCCCTCCCTGCCTGCTATTGAGATGCAGATGCCTTCTGGCAGAGTTCAGCCTCTTAGAGAGTCTTGCGGATTGTTGGCACCTAAACAGAATCAGTGACCTGGGTGCTCTGCGGCCAGCGGCACAGAATCGAACCCACATCCCAGCATTTGGCCACCCATCTGAGGGAGGCCCAAATCATCACAGATGCTGTACTGCAGATACATGCTAGTCCAAAGAGCCGTCCCTGAGATGGCTGTGAGCGCCACACGCCTCAGGCATAAGATAAGGATGGAAGGCTGTCCAAGTTAATTGGAAGGCCTCGGCAGCTTGGGATTAGCTTGGGAGCGCTGCAAAGTGGAAAATATGAAAAGACCACACAGGCCCGGCAGTCCAGAAACTGGGCAAAAATATTCTGCAGTGGGGATTTATTTTTCCAAAGCAGGTAACAGAAGCTAGTGAGAAAGAAAAACTCTCTGTGCCATTCCAAAGGCCATCTTGTGGTCAGTTTCATGCCCTCACCTAATTTTTTTCTTCAATTCCTAGCCTTTTCTAAAGTTTCCTGGTCTCCACTGGACACAGAGCACTGGAGACGGAGGATCCCAGAGGGCAGTCTCAGTTGCAGCCAGTGTTTGCCCAGCCTGGGCAGACAGGAAATTCCTCTGATACATTATTTTTTCTTTCATAGCTCTGTCTCAGAAAGGACCCATCTGTGGCACTTTTTCACCTCAAAATAAGATCGATGGTATCTTGTAAAATGAGGGAGTGCCGCTTCTTAGTATTTTTGATGATCACAGATATTTTTAGAAAGCTGTTTTAGAATTTTTTTTCCCTCTTTTCTAGCCATCTAAATTGACTCTTCCATTATAGGGCTCAGAAATCCAATATTTGGAGTACAGTTTCTTTCAATTCATATTAGACCTGCCTCACAAAGCACCTCCTCCTCGTTCCCCCCTGTTTCCTCCACTCAGTTGGGGGAGCAACTCACAGCTCCTGCGGGATGTATATGTGCCCTCAGCAGCAGCTCCCAGGTGAAGCTGCCAGATCCCCAGGCTTCTCCGTAGCCTTTTCTGAATTGAGTCAGACATGCAGAGGTTGGGTCACACAGACGAGGAATTTTCCCTGGGCCTTACAAGGACACCAACCTAGGGTGCAGATAGATGGACTATGGTTCAAGGACACTGGAATTGGAGAGCTGATCAAGGCTGTCTTCAGCCTGGCTCTGTCCCTGCCTCTTACCAGGGCACAGGTAGACACACAGGGGTAGCCAGCCTGCTCCCACTGTCACAGGCACTTGCCATTTGACCTTCCTGGAGGTCAGGGATCTTCTGTGTGAGGCGAGAGGGTCTCAGTCTGCTTGAAAGGTGATGAGATTCTGCCGGATCTCAGCACGCTGCAGGTGTGTTTTGAGAGTGTTCGGTAGGACATGGTGACCCTATTTCAGAGCGTAAGATGATGGGTACTGCATCGCAAATGCAAAGATTAAGCCAAATACCTGATGTGTTGTGAAAACCACAGATTTTAAGAACAGAGAGAAAGGGATTTTTACACATCCCTCTGTATGAATATGAAATGAGATACCAGGGCATCATGTTGCTACAATGAGAGCCTCTCAGTCTGGCCTTCTCACCCAAGTGCAAGAACTCAGCCTCTTACTGTACAAAGAATCTTACAGTTGAATTATGGAGGGAAATTCCCTTTTGCCCCAAGGATTTCTAGTTTTAAAGCAATATCCCAGGAAAATACGTAAGACAGGACGATACCTTCAGCCACTTGAAGAAGACATAGAAGTCACTCATTCCAATATAATCCTTATTTCCCATCCACGTACAGGCTGAGCATCTCTAATCTGAATAGTTAAAACCCCAAAGGCCCCCAAATCCAAAACATGCTACAACACCATGAGTGGAATATTCCATACCTAACACTTTTGCTTTCTGATGGTTCAGTGTACACAAGTGTTTTATAGAGAAAATTATTTCAAATATCATATAAAATTAGCTTCAATCTGTGTGTATAAAGTGTATATGAACCATAAATGAGTTTTACGTTTACACCTTGTGCCCATCCCCAGAATCTCTCATTTTATATATATGCAAATATTCCAAGATAAAAAAAACTCCAAGACCCAGAATACTTCTGGTCCCAAGCATTTCAGATAAGGGATATCAATCTGTACTACCAATAATGATTTCTTAATTTCCCTAACTGCAAATGTCCTCTTTATGTGTTCTTTGTGAGACGATCTGGGTAGTGCCAGCACCTGGATATGGTACTTACACACCGCAAACCCTAAAGATTTCAGATCAATTAGCAAACGTTGATGAAGCACCTGCTGAACACTGTGAGGGACCCAAAGGTCAATCAGCCATAATCCCTGCTTTTAGTGTTTCTATTGTACCTGCTAATCCACCCAGCATAAAATTTCTCGTTTCAACACTAAGGATGAGGGGTGTTGTCAGGAGACAAATCTGAAGTCAGAAGAAGAAAATGCAGAGGAGCCCTGCCACGTGATGGACGTGCACTGTCACTTGGGTCTTGAAGTTCTCGTTCCTGCATCTCAGGCTAGCCAGGCCATCTCCTCTCTATCAGAAGAAAGCACTGGTAATTGGCTAAACTCGGTATGTTGAAGGTAACATGAACTCTAAGATCTTGACCGAGGGTGACTTCGTCTTGCTCAAGGTGGCATCACCAATGTCCCAAATCCTTTGGGGAGGAGGGCATGTCCCCACAGAAAAAGAAGAAAAATAGACCAATTTTCTCCTTTCAACAGTATGTTTGGAACCCTCTGGTCCAATGTCTTTTGATACTGATATCTTGTCCAAATGAGAATGTCACTGTAGCTGAAATTCAAATGGCTGTGACAGAATTTACTGAAATAATGAAGTAACAACCATTCCCGCCTTTCACTGCCTAGGCTCCTAGTCTGAATACATTTTTGAAATATGAACTCCCTTTTCCAAAAAAAAAAAGAACCCTGGGTGTCAGGGAGGTGAAGTGACTTGCTCTAGGAGCAGACAGATGCCAAGAACGGAATTAGGATTAGGATCCAGCCAGGGCTTACCCTGTCTGACCCATTCCCACCCAGGAAACTGAAGATAAAAGATTTGGGAAAACACAGCAAGAAAAAAGGGCAGTTTTCTTTGCCCAAGCATTTGGTGCTAGTCAGAGGCTGTTGACTTGTCCTGCTCCTCTTCCGAGTAGAAGTAAAGGGTGTGACACAAGGAAGCCAGTGGGGTGGGAGGGGGGCACAATAGTCCCTGCCCAAAACCCACAGAAGACTAACCTGATACTCTTTTGACCCAACTGCTTCAACACTAAACAACTGCACACTCCCTGACTCTCTCACACATGCCAAGTGAACATTCTTGATGATTTCTCTTTGTGACTGCAACCACCTGCAAACCAGAACGAATCTAGAATTCTCATTTTTTCCCCTTTTTGTTTAGTTTCTAATCTCTTGTTTATGAGGTGTGGGGTTTATAAGGGACTGAATCAAATGAATGTAACAAAAAAGAAAAAAAAAAACAAAAAAAAATGCCTTTTCTCAGGGCCAGTGAGTTGCAAATAATTTTTAAAGAAAAGCCTATAATTACATCATCTCAATAAATTTTTTATAAAAAACATGAAGTCCAGAGTCTCTGTTTTCGATAATATGAAATGGAGTCAGACAAGGTGCTCCAATGAGGTAAATCCTGTCTCCACGCAATTATGGTATAAAGGGCATTCATGGTTTTTCACTGGCAGGAAGCCACCTCTGCAGAGCAGTTTGCAGACGATCTTTAGACAAGTGGCACCAGAAAGGTCAGAGTGAACCATTCCAACCTGAGCAGCTGCCACAGGTGGAAAAATTGCCAAGAGGAACCCTGATCAGAGATGCATGGGTCCCATGCTGTGGTGCTCGGGTCCTATTAGGTCACTGAGAACTCAGCAGTACCAGGTCCTCACACAATAGAATTGCCCCTTAAATCTGCTGAGATCAGAGGGCTGAGCCTACAAGGTGATGAAGGGGTAAGGGCTGGGATAGATCCTATGACTAAACACAGGACTGTCATGGTCTGGAAGGTCACACAGCTCAGAGCCAGCCCACTTGCTCAGAATGTCCCAGCCAGCCTGACCAACAGAGCCACCCGCCAACCAGTGGGCACTCAGAAGTTCAAGATCAAACATTCTGGTCAGAAAGTTGACCAGAACTATCTGCCATCAGAGGTGGGTGGAAACAAGGGGAAGAATGGAAAGCAAAGCAAATGCACTGCTGTTTAGCAAATCAGGTGTAGGTTCGAAATGTCTAAGAAATCAGCAGTCTCAGGAAATGTTATTAGTTTACTTCTGTATTTAAGTTAATCGGGTTACTCTGTACCCCCTGAGGTTGAGTACTGAAATTTGGCCCTATATGCTGTATGATCAGAGAACATTATCAAATAAGGGTCTGGATATTTTCTGAGGTGCTAAAAATGCATTTGAAGCTACTATTTCTATAATGCAGCGTTAGAGAACTACTAGAAATGAAAATTATCAGTTCCCACCCCATAAACTGAATCAGAAACTTAGTATGCTTTAACAAGCACTCTGGGTGATTCAGATGCGCACTGGAGTTTGAGAGTCCCTGCTATCAATTTCTTTATCTTAGTATGAAAGGGCTTGCAGTAATTTAAACAATAAACTCAAGTGATGACAACTAATTTGCATTAATAGTACTCACAATAACGCCGCATTTTCCTAATGGTGGACACACTGTGGAATGAGGCTAAGTGGACACAGAATCGCATACCAAAGTCATCGTCTTGTTTCCTCAAAACCTTTTAAGCAATCAGTTTGCTGTAAAGAGGAGCTGTTTTAAAGGGTAACTCTTAACAGCTGACCTGCCCTTGCAAATCAGAGCACAGCAATTTATCCACTTATGCCTACTTATCTGCCTAACCAGCCTGATCTAAAAAGAAAAATAAAAGGATCATTCTCATCTGCTAACTGACCTTGGCTATCTGTCCCCTAAATTATTAAGCAGAGCCCAGACGAGCATTTAGCCAGGGCACTTGCAGAGGACCCTAGAACCACTGGGCTAGAGCAGAGCTTCTCAAACCAGAAGGTGTTCGTGAATCATCAGATGATCTCAGGAAAAAAAGCAGATTTTGCTTCAGTAATATCCTGGGAAGTCTGAACAGAAGTTCTGGTTTTCTACCCGACTTTATGGATGGGGCTTGAGGCTCTGCACTTTTAACAAGCCAAACTCCAGGTAGTGTTGATGGTGCTGGTCCAGGGACCACACTTTTTTTTTTTTTTTTGAGACAGAGTCTCGCTCTATCACCCAGGAGTGCAGTGGTACGATCTTGTCTCACTGCAACCTCCGCCTCCTGGCTTTAAGCGATTCTCCTGTCTCAGCCTCCCAAAGTAACTGGTATTAAAGGTGCATGCCACCACGCCCAGCTAATTTTTGTATTTTCAGTAGAGGCAGGATTCACCTTGTTGGTCAGGCTGGTCTCGAACTCCTGACCTTAGGTGATCCACCTGCCTCCACCTCCCAAAGTGCTGGGATTAGAGGCATGAGCCGCCGCGCTGCCCCAGGGACCACACTTTGAGTAGTGAGAGTGCAGTCTCCCTCAGGCCCTGAGATGCTGACCATAACACATAGCTGACGGAACCCCTCTCCTGTTGTTTTCCTCTGCTAATTCCTCCCTGGAATGGTCCCTAGCTCCAGTCCTGCTCTGTGAGAAGTTTGCTTCTTCCTTTTTAGGGCATCATCAAGAGTAAACAACATGATCAAAAGCCTCTTCACCAAGTGAAGGAACAGCGATTCATGTACTGACCTTCACACAGACATTCCTAACCAGACGCCTCATGGTCATCATTCTTACAGGAAGCAATGAGAACTCCAGGCATCACTGCCGCAGCCTCTAGAAAGGCCAGTCTTGATCGCCGCTGAAAGCAGATAGAAAGCTAACAGTGCCCTTCTTGATGTTCTCAAAGGCATCGATAGGATAGATGAGCAAATCCATCCAGACAGTCCAAGATGTTGACATTAAAAGCAGATCATCCTGTTTGTTAGTACTTAACAGATTCACTGTTTTGTTATTGTTTTTTTAAATTAAGGCCTTCGGTCTCTGCCAGATTAAGATGATAGATTTCTGTTAGTAAAACCACTGAGGAACGACTCCTTAGTGTCTTCTGAGACAACAGAAGACTATTTCTTCTCCCCAGACCCTCCTGGAGTCCTCTGAGGTGTTTATGCCTTTTCTCTCAACCAGAATTTTGGTCATGAGATCCCATATCAGACCATCCACCTGTTGACCTTTGCTTCCTCGGATGCCTCTGGGAGAGCTACGCGCTGCCTCAATGCCCCAGCCGCAAGCAGTTCCGTAAAAGCAACTAAATGCCTCCATGCAATGAATTGCTCATGTGCCTCTGTCCCTACTGGAGCTCTCTAAAGGTAGAGTATTTTATGCACATGTTTACTACCAGCCCCTTGCATGGGCCTGGCACAAGGTATATGTTAACAAGTGTTTTAAATGGGAGTGAAGCCAGAGAAACTCTTTATTACCTTAGTTTAGGGAAAGATTTCTGAATATGACACCAAAAAATCCATAAAAGAAAAAAATGGATAAATTGGACTTCATCAAAATTAAAACTTGCTCCTCAAAAAACACCATATTAAGAAAATGAAATGACAAGTTACAGACTGGAAGAAAATATATGCAAGTCATCTGATAAAGAACTTGTATCCAAGATATAGAAAGAATTTCCGCAACTCAGTAAGATGAACAACCCAATTTTAAAATGGTCAAAGATTTAAACAGACAGTTCACCAAAGAACTTCTAGAAATGGCTGTTAAGCACACAAAAAGATGCTCAACATTATTCGTCACTAAGGAAAGGTAAATTAAAGCCACAGTGAGTTAACATGACACATCCACAAATGGCTATGATAAAACGACCGGCAATACCAAGTGTTGGCTAGTAGGTGGGGCAACTAGAACCCTCATGCATTGCTGGTGGGATGTAAAATGGCACAGCCACTTTGGACAACCATTTGGCAGCTTCTTGAAAAGTTAAGCATAAATTTGTCATATCCAAATAATTTCACTCCGAAGTATCTTCTCAAAGAAATGAAAACATGTCCACACAAAGATTTATATACAAATATTTGTAGAAGCATTATTTTACTTTATTTTGAGATGGGGTCTCACTCTGTTGTCCAGGCTAGAGTGCAGTTGAGCAATCACAGCTCACTGCAGCCTGAAACTTCTGAGCTCAAGCAATCCTCCCATCTCAGCCTCCTGAGTAGCTGGGTCTACAGGTATGTGCCACACACTGGCTAACTTTTTTTGTTTTTTGTAAAAATATGGTCTCTCTATGTGGCATAGGCCGGTCTCAAACTCCTGGGCTCAAGTGATCCACCTGCCTCAGCTTCCCAAAGTGCTGAGATTACAGGTGTGTGCCACTGCACCTGACCCAACAGCATTATGATCACGCCTGTAATCCCAGCACTTTCAGAGGCTGAGGTGGGAGGATCATTTGAGCCAAGAAGTTCGAGACCAGCCTGGGCAACATGGTGAAACCCCATTTCTACAAAAAAATTAAAAATTAGCTGGGTGTGCTAGCACATGCCATGGTCCCAGCTACTTGGAAAGCTGAGGTGGGAGGATTGCTTGACCCCAGGAAGTTGAGGCGGCAGTGAGCACTGATCACTCCACTACACTCCAGCCTGGGTGACAGAGGAAGACCCTGTCTCAGAAAGAAAAAAAAAAGGCCAGGCACAGTGGCTCACACCTATAATCCCAGCTACTAGGGAGGCTGACACAGGAGAATTGCTTGAACTGGGAGGTAGAGGCTGCAGTAAGCTGAGATCACGCCACTACATCCCAGCCTGGGCCACAGAGTAAGAGTCTGTCTCAAAACAAAAAAGACAAAATCCAGAAACAATCCACACATCCATCAACTGATGAATAGATAAACTGTGGTGGAACAGGCAATGGAATACTATCTAGCAACAAAAAGGAAACAAACCACTGATACTGTAATAACATGAATGAAACTCAAAAACATATTAAGTTAAAAGAAGCCCATCACAAAAGACCACATGTTGTCTAGTTTCCGTTACATAAAATTT